CCAGATTTCGATACCCGTTGTGGGCACAGCACAGATAGCCCTCGTGTAGCTTTGCGCGAAATTCATAACAAACCAAACCAATCTTGCCCCCCTCCCCAGTCCGCATGCTTATAACGATACAAACCAGATTTCGATACCCGTTGTGGGCACAGCACAGATAGCCCATTGTGTAGCTTTGTGCTTAACAGCAAACAAGACAAATATATTTTTCTTAACAATTAATCATGTTTGTTCAAACTAAAGTGTAAACAATTGTACAAAGTTCTAAATAATAAACGCACTATAAACAATCAATATAAAAACTATCAATCTGATTCAGGCTTTTCACTTCTAACCTATCTGTCCTCAACAATATTTTCACACCTTCCAAACTTACAGACAATGATAAAAATTTTTACTTTATCCTAAGAAAGGAATCAAGAGAACAGCCAGATCTGTTCTCAACAATATTTCCACACCTTCCAAACTGACAGACAAGGATAAAATATTTACTTTATCATAAGAAAGTAATCAAGAGAACAGCCAGATCCGTTCTCAACAATATTTTCACACCTTCCAAACTTACAGACAAGGATAAAATAATTACTTTATCATAAGAAAGTAATCAAGAGAACAGCCAGATCCGTTCTCAACAATATTTTCACACCTTCCAAACTGACAGACAAGGATAAAATATTTACTTTATCATAAGAAAGTAATCAAGAGAACAGCCAGATCGGTTCTCAACTATATTTTCATACCTTCCAAACTTACAGACAAAGATAAAATAATTACGTTATCATAAGCACCAAATAAGGAGAAGAAACGTTAAAGAGGCCATTACCATCACAGAACATCACCCTCAGATGGGATAAGTCGAGATAACAGCCAACCACTGAACATCGTCCTTACTTCCTTCATTCAAAATAATTTGTTCAACAAATAATTCATAAAAATATTTAGTTAACGAAAAGAATAATGTCATTTTAACTTCAATGTTTATAAAGTATTTTTTTCCAATAAACTAAGTTGTACCACTTGGTACCTTTTTATAGAGGTCATGCTGACAACAGTTCAGTTAGGCCTACATTAATTAAATTGAACCTTGGCTTGGTGGTAAATCGGCAGATTTATAACACTAAAAACCAGGTTTCGATACTCGTGATGGGCTTAGCACAGACAGCCCAATACATATGCCTTTTGCTTCATAACAAACAAACAGCACGAGTGAGTGCGCGAATACGACCAACCGACACCCCCCGTGATATATAAAGCTGTGTTATCATTTTGTTATAGCACAATAAGTATTGTAAAAATTATACAATACTACCGATTTTATTATTTTTAGTTTGGTCTATGCCGGTACCCAGTAGTTCCTCTAAAATCACTTGCCGACATACCGAATGAAATTAACCCTGACATAATCGAAATAGTTCCGTTGTTATCTTTACTTAACTGAGTTAACAAAATAATATTCACCAACATTGATAATAAGAATTTAAGGTGTATTTAATATGCACGTGATCAGCGTAGCTTATTGAATGGGGTCTAACATGCTAGACCATAGATCTGCACATTCAGCGTTCGTTACCACCAAAGAAAAAAAAAATGTACTTCGTATTTTGAGGACGTGGTTGCGTAATAAGAATAACTATCAAACCCCACTTATCGTTTAGTGAAGAAATAACCCAATAATAATTGGCGATGGGTGCTTTCCCTTCAGTTCAAAATTAGGAGTAGCCTTCTGCGAACATTCGAGAAAAACAAACATACAGTTTTTTGAGCGACAAAAATAATCTGATACAAAATGTGGACGAAGTAGAAACTTCGGAGAATGATCTAAGTATGTATAATTGTAACTCATAGACAAACTTTGGATAGGATAATGTCATCGTTTAGTTGTACGTTAAAAATCGTAAAGACGCTCTGTAGGCTATTTTTAACCAGCTTGTGTGCGTTGTTAATAACGTCCAAATTACATATAACACCTTGAGAGAATTTACCTCTGTAAATAGTTAGACCAGTCCACACAACACCCAACTACAGTCACCAATATAACTGTTAGCTAAAACAATCTATTAACATTAGCTTAACGAAAAATACCAAGTGCTCGTCTTATCCAGACTAAAATTCGTGGATAATGCATTTTTAGAGTTCCTCGTTCTGATTCTGTCACGAACATTCTGATGTCATAAAAACATTCTGATTCAAACAAAGCAACCAGTACGCCAGTCAACAATTTCCCTTCTAGTCTGTGACCCGATTAATTTCACTCTTTCAATTCACCATTGTTCGGCCACTTGCCAAATATATATATATCTAATTGTCAGCATTTGAGCCCCATACTTTATTTCGGGGTTTATTTTTTCATTCGTCAGCAAACTGTTAATGTTTGGAATAACTTGAATAAGGACTTTTGTGTGAGTAATCAAAAAAAATATATTATCTTCCATAAATACATTTTACGTTTTATAAAGAATAGTTTAGCTTGTTTGTGTGTGTAACTATTTAAAGTAGATAAAGTACACTTATTGGTTTATTTGTGTGTGTGTGTAACTATATGAAAAATAAACCAATAAGTGTAGTTTATCTACAATGTGTGTGTGTGTAACTATTTGAAGTAGATAAACTACACTTATTGGTTTATTCGTGTGGATCACTATTTAAAGTAGATAAACTACACTTATTGGTTTATTTGTGTGTGTGTAACTATTTGAAGTAGATAAACTACACTTATTGGTTTATTTGTGTGTGTGGGTCACTATTTGAAGTAGATAAACTACACTTATTGGTTTATTTGTGTGTGTGTGTAACTATTTGAAGTAGATAAAGTACACTTATTGGTTTATTTGTGTGGGTCACTATTTGAAGTAGATAAACTACACTTATTGGTTTATTTGTGTGTGTAACTATCTGAATTAGATAAACTACACTTATTGGTTTATTTGTGTGTGTGTAACTATTTGAAGTAGATAAAGTACACTTATTGGTTTATTTGTGTGTGTAACTATTTGAATTAGATAAAGTACACTTATTGGTTTATCTGTGTGGGTCACTATTTGATGTAGATAAACTACACTCATTCGTTTATTTGTGTGGGTAAGTATCTAAATAAGATAAACTACACTTATTCGTTTATTTGTGTGTGTAACTATTTGAAGTAGATAAAATACACTTATTGGTTTATTTGTGTGTGTGTGTAACTATTTAAAGTAGATAAACTACACTTATTGGTTTATTTGTGTGTGTGTAACTATTTGAAGTAGATAAAGTACACTTATTGGTTTATTTGTGTGTGTGTGTAACTATTTGAAGTAGATAAAATACACTTATTGGTTTATTTGTGTGGGTAACTATTTGAAGTAGATAAAATACGCTTATTGGTTTAGTTATGTGGGTAACTATTTGAAGTAGATAAAATACACTTATTGGTTTATTTGTGTGGGTAACTATTTTAGGTAGATAAACTACAGTTATTGGCTTATTTGTATGGGTAACTATTTGAAATAGATCAACTACACTTATTGGTTTATTTGTGTGGGTAACTATCTGAATTAGATAAACTACACTTATTGGTTTATTTGTGTGGGTAACTTTTTGAAGTAGATAAACTACACTTATTGGTTTATTTGTGTGGGTAACTATTTGGAGTAAATAAACTACACTTATTGGTTTATTTGTGTGGGTAACTATTTGAAGTAGATAAACTTCACTTATTGGTTTATTTGTATGGGTAACAATTTGAAGTAAATAAACTACACTTATTGGTTTATTTGTGTGGGTAACTATTTTGAGTAAATAAACTACACATATTGGTGAAAACGAATAAAGGTTTGTTTTAGTTTTTTTTGTAACCACTAATTTTGTTTCTCTTTCAGCTCCTGAGATTCTTCAGTTTAATCCAATTAGCTTAGCAACTGATATGTGGTAAGTATTTTAGAATTATCACAAACATTCAATATGGACATAAGATGTCAATGAAATTTCTTATTCTTAAAACAACTTACAAACCTTATATATAAATTGGCCGATTTCCAAATTCAAATGTTGAAAACATTGAAATATAAAACGGTCTCTTTTGTAATGCTTTATTTACATTTTTTTTTCTTTGGTTTAGTATTTCGGTCACTAAATTTGTAAGATTAGAAGTTCAAGAGATTTGGTTACGAATATCTTCGAAGTTCACACCTATAAAATCCAAGCTTAGTAAGATATTCGAAATCTTGCTTCTTAACACTTTGATCTGAAATACTGAGTTTGTAGATTAATTAAATTTGTTGCAGTTTGATTTCTGAAATAAAATTTATAACCTAAAATTATGTCAATCAAAAATTTGCTTATTAAGAATGATAAACATTCCCTCTTTGATTTGTAATTTTACGAATTTAGAAATACGAGAACATCTAAAATTATACTTTAAACCAACTGAGTCTGGTGTAATTTGAGAATATAGAGTACTATCCTTTGCAATTAAACCTTATTTCCTTATAATCTTGATATTGGTAGCTTTTATTACCCGAGTTCACGATCTTCACAGACATAGGGGTTTTTATTTGTAATATTTTAGAAAATCACAAAATCTGCATCTTTCTTCACATTCAAACAAAAAAAACAATATAGGGGACAGTTCATCTTGGACTTCAACTTTTCAAGGGGCACTGAATTCTCAATACAATTATATATATCTATAGCTTAACTGTTTCCTTATACTTTGTATATTTCTATCGTTCAAGCTCTTCAGCTAGCCCTGCCTGAGGCTCTTAGAATAAACACCGGTGACGTTTGTAGGCACGCGCACGCATGGAAAAGGACAAGGCAGTGCTTAGAGATTATCGTTCCCAAACTGTGAATCCAAAGATTCATGGTTTGCATCCTGTTACTGCAAAAATGCACTCTGAACATTGGAACTATTTAGTCTCACAAGAGTAGTCCTAGAGTTGGCAGTGGTTGTTGTTGACTAGCTACATTCCTTCTAGTTTTATCAATTCAAAATTAGAGACAGCTATGAGCAGGTAGCTTTTTATGTAGATTTGCTCGAAAATTCTAAAATAAAATAAAGAAACGCACGTGGAAAGTTTTGAAGTCACGAAAATTTCTTCACAAAGTATTTCAAATAAGCTCTTAAAATCTCATAGGGTTGGTTTTTGTTTGTTTTTTTTTTAATTTCGCGCAAAACTACACGAGGGCTATCTGTGCTAGCCGTCCCTAATTTAGCAGTGTAAGACTAGAGGGAAGGCAGCTAGTCATCACCACCCACCGCCAACTCTTGGGCTACTCTTTTACTAACGAATAGTGGGATTTACCGTCACATTATAACGCCCCCACGGCTGAAAGGGCGAGCATGTTTGGTGTGACCGGGATTCGAACCCGCGACCCTCAGATTGCGACTCGATTGCCTTAACCACCTGGCCATGCCGGGCTGATCTCATAGGGAATAAAATGAAAATAAATAGTTTTTGTTGGAGATTTTCCACTTAACCTTAAGTTAAACGTCGTTGTTTTGAGGTATTACAATAACGGAACTTTTAAGCTTCTATGGTGTGAAACTAAAACTTGTGCTTTTATAAATAACGTAGAATGGATTCGTGAAAGAAGACATATTTTTAAACAATATTTTTCAAAATTTATAAATTCAGGTTTTTTTTATATTGGAATTTTTCCTATAATTTTGAATCTATGTATATTGAGTAAGCAAAATTTTAATTAGGATCATTGCTGAGATTCGGAAATTTTGATGTACAATAACATTTATTTTTCATTATTCCAGGAGTTTGGGAATTTTAACTTACGTCCTTTTGTCTGGCCATACTCCTTTTGGCGGGGAAACGAAACAGGAGACATTTTGTAACATAACAAGCAGCCCTTTGGAATTTCCAGACCAGATGTTTCTAGAAGTTTCCAACCATGCCAAAGAGTTCATAAGGAGACTACTGGTTCGAAATCCAAGGTGACAAGTGTTATGCTTTGCATTTTTAGCGTACAAATACTCCGCCAATGATTCTCAGGTCATCCTTATTCTCTGTAATATTGTTAAATAGTTGAAGTTTTATTAAGGGTGCAAATGACTTGTAAGAACTAACGCAAAAACTGGCTTGGATAAAAAAGAACTTTTTCATTCTTCTTTATTTTACTGAAACTAAATGTGTTTCACAATTAGTTTTCATCAGAAATTATATTCAAATCATGACACCAATTATTTTTACGTATTCTAAATAGACTATACGTTAATATACTGTTATAATGTGATACATTTATAAGTAAAAGTCGGTATTTTATCAAATTTATTGTTAGCTCTGTATTCATTGTGGTTTTGTAAATAATGTGTATGTTTTACTTACTAGTACAATATTAATATTAACAATTTCACATTTTTTGCTGTTTCATTACTAATTTCTAGAGAGAGAATGTCCTCAGTGGAGTGCTTCCAACATCCTTGGGTTTACACCAAATCCAAAGAAATTCAAGAGTCAACTTTTACCTCGAGTGTTGAAAAAATGGGAGGAGATTCGGTGCATGACTTGAACATGAATTACACGGCTAAATTGTCGTCACCTGTATTCACTCAACAAGATCTTCATCAAACTTAAATATCTCATTGAAAGCAACAGAAGAAGAATTAGTTTAAGAAACATCAGTTGTACCACAAAACGAAACCCACCAATTCTTAGTAGTGAAAACAGAAAATAAAAGACAAATAGAAACAAAAACTGATTTGTTACTAAAACAAAGCAGCACCAAATCTTTGTAACTTTAACAAAGACGAAGAAATTACCATCATTGCCAGTGGTGCAATATAAAGAACCAAAAATCAAAGCTAATTTTTCTTACTTATTACTCTAGGAGCAGAGAGGGTTAGGTGTACGCCACCTGCTGGGAAAAGATAATACCAATTTTCCTTTATTGGGACTGTCTCAAATATATCTAGGGTGTACAACCTTCTAGGAAATTCGCACAGAGATTTTTATTGGGTTATTTGTACTTGTATCCCTTATGTAAAATATGCACCAGTGAGATATCCAGAAGAGATCGGGGTAGGATTTAATAGTGCAATATGTTTCATAACATTACGAGCATACATATAACGAAAATAAAAACAATTATCATATATCAGACATGTTATTTCGCTCTAATGATCAACTTATAAAGGCCAAAGTTATGATTTTTGTCTTTTTTTTCAGTACATGAAGAGAGGATATGATAAACATTATAACACTAGACATTTATAGATATCAAACATACAAAAAAAGCATGACCGATATTAATACATATCGCATCAGTTTTATAAGTTTGTTTGTTTGTAATTAAGCAATTACACGACATTTCACAGTCGCTTTTTCAAATGTTTCTAAACTAGAATCCTCCATCAGGCTGACTAAATGCAAAGTTTCTAGCTTCAGAGAAACCTCAGATTTATCCAGTGCAATATGCGACACCACATGACATTACACTAGGTGGGGTCGTCAATCTCTAGATATTACCTATATGATCATTAAAGAATACAACTGTCGTTTTCCTGGTACAAGGTTGCTGTAAATGTTCTCCACAAGCGGTTTGTTTGTTTGTTTGTTTGTAATTATGCACAAAGTTACACAATGGGTTGTCTGTGCTCTGCCCACCACAGGTATCGAAACCCGGTTTCTAGCGTTGTAAGTCCGCAGACATACCGCTATGCCACTGAGGGGGGGGGGGGGTAGTTTTATAAGCGACAATGGTACAAGAAGTAATCTTATATCAGATGTTCCACTTTACATAAAAAGCATCCACTCATTTTGTGACAGATGTGGTTACAAACTAAACCTCAAATGTAAGGAGAGAAAACATAGATCTGGAGATAAAACAGTTACACTTTGTGAAATTCAGGTTAATCCAGCACTTAGAGATATTTCTGAGGTTGAGGAAAGCAAAGCAGCCCTTATGTGCTTCCTCTCAAAATTATGGTCAACAAAGAGGTTTCGTGACAGCAAAGAGAAGTTATAGTTTAACCCTAAATGCTTGAGCAATTTTCTTTATTTTAGACCAGTTTTTCACTATTCGAAACTAAGAACGTTGTTTCCAAATTCCTTGTAAATCCTTCAAATAGAAAAGTATCGTACATGTAACCGACTTCTGTTACAGGAAGCTCAACTCAAAAACACTAAAACACAAACAAGTTAGTTATACTCAACTAAAAATACTCATAAAGTCCTAATTAAAAAAAAGCTTACTTAGTTAAACTTTACAAGATTAAAAGCCATAATATTTTGTACTTGAAATTAGGAAAACAGGCATAAAATATATATTTTGGGTTGGTTAATGTGATTTTGATATATTACAGTTTTGTTTGCACATAAAACAAGTAATGTGTTTTAAAAAAAATTTTTGTACTTTTAAAAAACCACTACGTTTCGCTAGCGTTACCTAACATCGTCAAGTGGATGTATTTGAATATTGGAACAAAACATTATGTGTTATAGTATCAACAGCGATGCTACTTCGCTAGGCAACAAAATAAAAGCAAAACAGACACAACTCTAACTGTTAAATGGGGAAAAATTAAAATAAATATAATTTTACATCTGAACACTAGTTAATGCTAGGTTTTTGTTTTATAATTAAAAAGAGTTCTTCTTTGATGTTTATTCTATCTATATTATCTTCTCTAAGGACCGGCGCTAGGGGGTGCTAGAGTGGTCCGTGCACCCCCATATTTCACTCTGGTCCACCTCGAAGTTCATTCTCCCTAGGCCCGGCATGGCCAGGTGGTTAGGGCGCTCGACTCGCAATCTGCGGGTCGCGGGTTCGAATCCCAGTCACACCAAATATGCTCGCCCTTTCAGCCGTGGGGCGTTATAATGTGACGGTCAATCCCACTATTCGTTGGTAAAATAGTAGCCCACTTGGCGGTGGGTGGTGATGACTAGCTGCCTTCCCTCTAGTCTTACACTGCTAAATTAGGGACGGCTAGCGCAGATAGCCCTCGTGTAGCTTTGCGCGAAATTAATAACAAACAAACAAACATTCTCCCTAGCGGTTTCAAAAATCGTATCACCCATTTTTGAAAATTGTGGGATTTTTTAAGCCGCTAAGAAGAGTAAACAAATGCTCCACCGCCCTCCTCCCCCCCCCCAACCGACGTGTCGCGCTCGTCGTCGTTCGTTCGTCGTACGTACTTAACGTTACGTACGTAACGTAACGTAAACGTACGTACGTAGTTACGTTACGT